TATTTGGTACAACACAGTTCCTCCATGGATCAGGACGTCGCTCCAAACTGGATGAAAGAGCCAGGAGGAAACTACTCAGAGAGGCTACCAAGAGGCCTACAGCAACTCTGAAGCAGCTGCAGGAATTTATGACAAAGAGTGGTCATTGTGTGCATGTGACAACATTCCAAATTCTCCACAAATGTGGCTTGTATGGGAAGGTTGCAAGAAAAAATCCACTCCTCAAGAAAGGCCACTTGCAGTCATGACTGAGATTTTCCGAAACACCCTGAAGATTCTGAGGCAGATGAGACTAAAACTTAATTATTTGGCCTCAACATCAAATGAAATGTCTGGCAGAAATCCAATACAGCTCACCATCCAAATAAAAGCATTCCTACAGTAACGCATGGAGGTGGTCATATCCTGTTATGGGGGTGTTTCTCTGCAGCAGGGACTGGAACACTTGTCAGGATAGAAGGAGACATGGTTGGGGCAAAATACCATCAAATTCTTGAGGAAAATCTACTGCCCTCTGCCAGAAAGTTGTCAATAAGAAGACGTTTTACCTTCCAGTATGACAACGACCCAAAGCACACAGCAAAACTGAGAACACAGCAAAAAAGGTGAATGTCCTTGCATGGCCTAGTCAGAGCCCAGACTAAACCCCATTGAAAATCTGTGGAATGATCTGAAGACTGCAGTCCACAAACAGTCACCATCAAATTGATCTGAACTTGAGCAGTTCTGCAAAGAAGAGTGGGCAAATATTGCAATGTCTAGATGTGCAAAGTTAGTAGAGACATATCCCAACAGACTAAAGGCTGTAATTAAAGCAAAAGGTGGTTCAACAAAATATTGACACAAGGGGGTGATCCTTTTTCCAACTCAGTGATTCTGGTTTTTTATTTATTTAATTTTCCCCCCTGACATATTGGTGTTATATCTTTCACTTGGATGTTAGAAGTTGCACTGAGTAAATACAGCTGGATAAAACAAAAACTGTGTCCATCTTCATTTTAGGCTGAAAAGCAACAAATTGCGATTATTTTAAAGGGGGGTGATTCTTTTCTATACCCACTGAACATTTATCCATTAAATATGTCTGTTTATAACCTGTGAAGATACTAGTGCAGTGAACAACTAGTTTCTAATTATTTATTCTAAGTGTTTGTAATTGTTTTACCGTTCGGGCCAGATCTCTTCTCATTGTGCTAAGAAAAAGGAGATGTAGTTTGATCTCCGTCTCCCACTTCCTGCAGTTCTGCACGTACTCATGACTGCCCAGACTGTGTTTACTGGAAGATAATGTTAAAAATGCTTCAGACATGGGCCAGAGCCAAAAGTAACAATAACTGAACGAATCAATGAAAAACCGAATAATATCTCAACTTTATATAACAATAATAACTACCATTTTAAAGTGTGGGGATCTTGTTTGAAAGAAATTCATACTTTTATTTAGCAAGGATGCATTAAATTGATTTAAAAAAGTGGAAGTAAAGACATGTATAACACTACAACAAAAAATATATTTCAAATAAATGCTGTTCTTTTGAACTTTCTATTAATGAAATAACTCAGAAGTATCATGGTTTTTACAAAAATATTAAGCAGCATAACTCTTTTCAACATTGATAATAATAAGAAATGTTACCAAATTAGTAATGTTTAATGCTTCTAAAAATTCAGCTTAACCAATGCAGGAATAAATTAAAATGTAAAATATATACAAATAGAAAACAGTTATTCTGAATTGTAATAATATTTCACAATATTACTGTTTTTATTGTATATTTGATCAATAAATGAAGCTAGGGCTGTGCAAAAAAAATCGAGATGCGCATGAAAATCGCATTCCATTTGAAGCCTTGCTAAGAGACATAATAGACATCTTTTAAAAATATATATATATAAAAAAAAATCTTACCAACCCCAAACTTTTTAATATATATGAAAAGCAAAAATAAATAACAAAAATGTGTTTTGTTTTTTTTGAGAATGCAGTCTAAGAACATTCCCGGCTAGGAGATGAGTCCTGGATGACTGTGCTTTGGAAGGCCAGAGCAGGGTCGTAATCACTAGTATCAACTTGCCAAAGTCAAATGAGGACAAGGCAGTCAGCATTGAGCCAGACTCTGAAGAACTATACCTTAGCATAATGAGAAACTAAAAGCTTTCAAAACTTTGTACATGAATAACATGGGACACCCACAGTAACTAAGAGAGGATGCCTTGCATTACAGATTCAATTCTTCAAGAGCTTGGAATGATTTGTTTTTTGCCCATTCCACCTATTCCTTATTAGGGCAGGCAAACCCTCCCCTAGAACTGTTGGTTCTGCTCTTCCAATGGTGTGGGTAAAAAGGAAACATTTCCCTAGCACAATTAAAACAAAATAACCCTGTTTTCAAGGAATAATGGCAGGGGACTTGTTTAATGTAATATGACAGAATGCCTGCAAAAAGGAAAGAGAGATGGTAAATGAAGGACTCACTTCTGTAAAACCTCCTCCTGTCCGCAGACCTTGAGAACGTAGCTGCTGATGTCCACCTGGTTCAGGTCATCATGGACCCAGCACAAAGCCTGCATTATGAGCAGGTCCACTGGAGAACTCACTGGGGAAATAAACACAGAAAACATGAAGGAAAAAGACATCCATGGAGAGAGAACACAATAAAGCTAATGAAAAAGTATAGAAGCTAATAAAATAAATTTGTTTTTTTCCACCCTATAATGCAAGTCAATGGTGTCCAATATTGTTTTGGATTCCACTGACTCTTATTGTATGGACAAAACATTTTTCAAAATATCTTCTTCCACAGAAGAAAGTGAGTAAATGCTGACAGTATTTTCATTCTTGGGTAAATCGTCCATTTAAATGAATTGAGGACAATCATGCAGGTGTTGTCTGCCTTATTTTTCAAAGCTTGCACAAGTGTTGGTTTTACAACGGACTATTACCAAACAGTTCATGCAGTACAGTGTTGACTTGGAGGACAGCGAGGGATGAGGATGCCATTTGGAAAAGGACCTCTGAACTAATTGTGAACTACTTCTGGTTCATTGAGATCGAAAACCATGCCAAGAAATGGATTTGGCATGAGAAGTTTCAGTATCAGAGCAAAAATATGACACCCAACATATTGTTCATGGTCACCCCAGGCTGCAGCAATAACATGCCCCACACCCCTCCTTGGAATGAGCCTCGCTTCAAGCTCCAAGCCTAGGGCTGGACTACAGTAAATCAGCTGTGCCTGGCCTCTTCATGTCTGCCGTGTTTTTCAACCCTAAAGGTCTGATGGTCATGCCTAATTTGTGATGGATTTGGGGTTGCTTTGAAGGGTTGTGGGATGCCGGTAAAACTCCTCCTCTGCCATCCTCTTTTCGTGGCACTACAGCAACACACATGGTGCTGGAATGTCAGGAGAGTGTGGTTGGTCTTAAATGGCAAGAACTCTACAGCCATAAGGAAGCCATGGAAAAAAGCTAAGAAGCAGAAAGGCTAGAACATCTTCAAGGCCTGATAAACACTGTGCCCCCTTTTCCCTTCCTAAAACCACAGTCTATGCTGGATTTATCCAGGTCAAAAAGAGCTATGGGGCTTAGGCAGTAACAACACGGACAAATTCTTCAACACAAAAGGCCAGTCTTGATTTACTGCCAGGAGTGAGGTGGTCAGAGACTCAGCACAAAAAACGAGGTCCGGCAGTCTTCAGAACATAGCCGCTTCACAGGGAACTGAGCCAAGGCCACTACAGCTCAATGAAAAGGACTTTCCGTGCCTGGACCACAGACAGGTTACGCAGTAAAAAACCTTGGCAAGTGACATGCAAGCTGAAAAATGAAAAACACAGGAACCCTGGTTGAAGAATCTGTTGAGCAGACGCACTATGACAGTTATGTAAAAAGAGATTGTGTCGCAGCGGCCAAGAAATGCTCTCTGGCACTGTCGTGGCTTCTTCATTTGTCAGCTTCCTTTATAGCAGACATTCAGAGAAGCTTACTATTGATAAATAGTGAGTACATGATTCATCAGATGTGATATTATAAGCTATTTATTAGGGATAGTTCACCCAAAAATTAAAATTATGTCATAATTTACTCACCTTTATGATGTTCCAAACCTGTATGACTACCTTTCTTCTGCAGAATTTTCATTTTTGGGTGAATTGTTCCTTTAACTGCCTTAACTGTTAGCATAACAATTTTTATATAAAACATTTTCACTGTCAAAAGCTTTTTGTAATGACTAAATTCACAGTCACAAAGAACTGCTTACCATCACAAGTGAAAGTTACAGGCTGTTGAGAATCAGAAATCTCAATGGATACTTTCACACTGCCCCCACTGTCCCCTCCTGCATCCCTCTGAGTGATCACAGGGCTGAGAACATAGCCAGGATTGGTAGCCAGGTCGACATGTGGAAACTTTGACCTCAGTCTGCAAAAATATAGGACAACACTTTGGGTAAACGAAGACCTAACACAGGTAAATATGGTGTACCACAAGGTTCAGTCTCAAGTCCTTTGTTAATCTTGACATACATGCTCTCTTTGCATATGTGATGTTATTATAAAACAAGGTATTAGCTCCCATTGTTACATGGGCTACACACAGCTGTAGACTTCCTGTATTTCACTTGTCAGCAGTCCTTGTTTGAGGTCTACATATGAGGTTTTGAGGCATTTCCCAAATTAGACCGTCAGGTCCAAATTAGCCTTGCTTCCCCTATAGAATCCAACATTACAGTGCTGATAATGACCTTCTGATATCAGATTAACAACACAGCTGTAGTAGCGGGACCTGCTTTTTTTCTGATGTATCCCCTTTACCAGTCAACAATTCAACAATTTGCCTTAAAAAAAAAACAATAACAACTCATAACTCACTTTGAAATGTCTTCACAGAATGCTACGACTTCTAGATTTTGGGCTTCATTTCCCTGTAAGATGGAGTACTTTGAGAGTGCATTTGCACTTCCTTTATTGACCTGTAAAAAGACAGACATGAAGCCATGGTTATACTGATGAGCGAACATTTGGTCTATTATACTATACATTCACTAGTGTGCTACACATAGGAAATCACTTGTTAAATATATGTTGTAAACAATCTATTATGTACAGTCTGTATTATGTACAGGGGTACCAAATAGACATGATTGATGACATTAACATCCCAGTTCAAATGTGGAATGAGACAGTCTCTCTGTTTGGTGAGAGGATACGGAGAATGTGAAGAATGTCTGGAATGCCAAAAAAGAGACTTCCTTCAGGAAGGAAATAGGTCAAAAAGGAACATCAACATGGAATTACAACTAGGCATTAAAGGTATATTCAGTTTAATAATGGCTCACATGCTAAGAAATTAAATAAAAATATTTATTTTCTGTTTAATTCTATATACCTTGCAGACTACATGAATGAAATCAATAGTATTACAAGTGGATTAGGCATTATTTTGCGAGATTACCTCTTAACATGGTCTCTGATAAGAACATCTGCCTCCAAAACATTTACCATAAGTGAAATCAAAGTAATAATCAAGAGTGTCAATATGGACAAAAAGAGCAGGTCACATGTTTTATTGCGGGTAATACATATATGCATGGGATGTGATGATGGTTTCTTTAGCTGTTTGCTAGGCCAAAGCTCTAGGCTTAACCTTAGAGAAAAATGAGACGCCATGTGACACACATTCACAAATTATTCATCCGCTTTTGCTTAGAGCTACGGTTTTACAGTTCTGGCTGCCCTACATGCAATCTCTCCCAGTCCAAACAGACCTTTTCCTCAGGTTAAAAGTATATGAGGGATCTGCCAAGAAATAATTCAAAGAATATAAGTAAAATTCCACCATCATCTTACGTTTGAGTGTGTAATAGAATTCACAGCAACTGCAACTTCCTCTACACTATTGTTGCTAAGAATACTGATATGCATTAACTGGAACTCTGCTCCCGACTGACCTGATAATACTTCCACTAAATAAATATGACTGAACTTCCATCAGATGATTTAACAATCCACTGATGACAGAGTGCTTGATGTTAAACTGTGACTAAGAGCTCTATTTATGAATCTAATTACTCGCATTGACACATTAAACAAACTTCATTTCTGCATGTAGGATAAGCTGACGGTCAGTTAATGGTTCACTTGGAGAGGACGTTCAGAGCATATTTATAAACACACTCACAACAGAAACCACATGGTCACAGTATCAACCAAGAACACCTTACTGTCTGCATACGAGAGCTACTGTAGTGACTGTTGCGATACACTAGGGATGTCAAAGTAATGACAAATGATACCAATCTTTCTACAATATCGGCAGTAACAAGTACCAACTCAATTCAGTGTCCAGTTGATGTCTGACTGAAATGTGGCTGCTTCTAAATGCTCACAGGCATATTATGTGGCACACAGGCCACATAATATGTGCACTCTAACAGACCTGCCACATGTTTAATATCAGTACTGTTTATTTACACAACTATTCAAAAGATTAGGGCGAGTAAGATTTTTTTTTCTTTTTTTGAAAAAATTCAAGCAGTACAACCATTTTTTTTTAACACCGATAATCAGAAATGTTTCTTGAGGAGCAAATCAGCATATTAGAATGATTTCTGAAGGATCATGTGATGCTGAAGACTGCAGTAATGGCTGCTGAAAATTCAGCTTTGCCATCATCACAGGAATAAATAAAATTTTAAATATATTAAAACAGATCAAAACTTATTTTAAGTTATAGTAATTTTTTTTACAATATTAAGTTTTTTTTGTTCAAATAAATGCATCCCTGGTGGTGGTACATACTTGATTTTTTTTGTATTTTATTTCTTTTAAATTTTAACAAAGTTTCCTTTTTTTTGTTTTCCATTTTATTGTGTTAATATTAATTAAAACTTAACACACACACACCTTTGACACCAATACTTTATTTGTTCACATCAGAAGATAATGCATAATCTGGGTTTGCCTTATGAATGCTGTGTACTAAAAAAAATTCTATACAAAAAAGTATTTCCTCTACTAACCCTAACCACAAGCATGAAGTAATGGCAACAGGGAACTTACAGTACACTTACACCAAGACCAACAACAAGCCTGTCTTTTGGGATGTGTGTGCTGATAAGGGCTGAAATATCCATGGCTTGAGATAAGACTATCTGTTGTTGTGTGTGATGAAGCAGAGTAACTGTACACCAAAACCAAAGCTCAGATTAGTTTCGCTGCTCTTTCGCAGACTCCGAAAGAGAGCTGCCATGGCAACGGGGAGCTGCACGGCCCCGCTGCAGGCATGTCAGAGAAAAACCCATGGGGCAAAAACAGCTAGCAGGGGCTTGTCTGTGCTAATGAGACCAGCACCAGACCTCGCTATAGACATGCACACACACACAAAGACAACAGCCCATTTACTACAGAATACTAGGACAGCAGAGTGTTGCCTTGAGTATGAACTAGATCTGATGTGTGACTCAGAAATATAATATTAATAGTCCTAAATCTTGAAATGAGGAAGTGCAAAGACTAAACCCTCTGACCCCTTAATTTTATCCTTATAGCTGAAAGCTGTCCCTGTTGTAAAAGTTACGGGCACAAGTTCTTCAAGTACTGTGGGAAATGTGTCACAACAGCCAATTGTCCTAGACCGAAAAAAAAAAACACATAACGAAACAGGAAGTGGGATTTCTGGGGGGAAAAAAACACATTTACACACACTCCTCATAAGGAATCAGTTTCACTCAATGTTTCACATTCCTCTCAAGAAGTCATTCTTTATTTTGGCAATCAGTTATGACGTTTCTAAGGAAAGGCCATGGATAAAGCAAGAGGTTTAGATAACACGGTGGTAAAATGAAAGAGACTAAGCACCAGCAGAACTTGTCTAGAATATGATACGAAAACCAACCATGATGAACAAAACAAAAATGAAAGATGCAAATCGCCCCCAGCAGAAAATGTTGTAAAGACATTCACCACATTGGCATGGTATAATAATTAGAAAACCATACGCACACATTTTTAACTGCTACTTCCTGTCATATCACAGAGCAGTGCTGCTTTCTTGTTAAAGTGCTAGAATGTATGCAAGAATGAGAGACACCTATAAAATACTATGTTGTCGAATAGGGGTTAAGGTACTCAATTAGTGGGGTTAGTTTATTTAGATTTTATATTTTTAGCATTTTTATTAACATGCCGTGCTTTAGTTGTTTGACTGGTGAAGCCCTCTCCGAAAAGTTGAGCCTTTAAATTTATCATCTTTAAAGTGAGACAGCTACAGCCATAAGGGCCGTTCATACAGAACGTTTTGCATTCCACTGCATTACTTTTCCATTGTCCTTCAAACATGCACATGACGGACATCCTTGACCATCGCGCTCGCATTTTGTGCAGCGTCTTGTGCATGATACATCATTCAAAAAACCACAATGCTCGAATTAAAATAAGGCCAATTTTTTTAGTTTTCTTTAGTTTTAGCATTAGACACAACGGGTTTGAATTTGATGATACCTGGCTGGAATCATTTCTACTTCCTCCTACACACCAATTGCAGCTTTTTTAACTCTGCACAAGAGGTTGTGGTAATCACTTCTAAACAAACAGTGCTGCCAACATGTTCTGGGTCAGTAGAAAGGACGTTCCTCTTACCTGTTTTTCTGGGCTGGGATCCGTTGAGGTTGCAGGTATGATGAGGGACTGGCTTCTTGTTACGGCCGCCCCTGTTGATGCTCTTCTGGGTTGGGTGGCTAAAGTCACCTTGCTCTTCACCTGTTCTGAGGGACTGCCATTATCCACAACTTCATGCTCATCCAGAAGAACCGCATCCCATGGGTCTTTAGCAGTCCCAGACTCCTCTACGAAAGGGCAGCCCGATACAGTGCGTGTCTCCTCTACCTCCACCTCCTTGCGCTTGTTGAGTGGGTCCAGGTCCAGCCACTCAAATCGGCTGATATAGGGAGGTTCTGAGGGCTGAGGCATGGGCTCCAGGGACTTGACGCTTCCCGATTGGGTTTCCATGCTGGAGGACCTGCCGTTCTTCAAGTATTCTGAAGTGCTGGCAATCTTGTCAAACAGCTTGGCCATCTCTGGGGTGACGGCGGGCTGTTGGTAGACCAGAGCAGCAGGTGGTTGGACTGGTGTAAAGGAGAGGAAGAGGGTCGGCTGGGCCGGCAGACTAATAAAGGGAGACAAAGCTGGACTAAAGCCATTCTGGAAAGAGCACGGAGGCTTCGGGAAGGGAGCAGAGGGGAAGATGGGAGTCTGTGCGTGTGTTGGGGTGGGTGTCCAGTGGAATGAAGCAGGGTTGAACGCATGTCCTCCAGGATACGATGCGCTGAGATTGCAACCTAGCAGAGAGGAAGGTCTTGTCATTTTGTTTACTCCAAAACTGTCATCCAGAAGCAGCTTTTCCAGCTCCTCCTTGGTCAGCTTCTCTAAATCGATATCCTCAAATTTGTCTTTTTGTTCTTCCTTCTGTGTTTCTGATTCGGAGAACACAATGAGGTCTTTCTCTTGCCGGCTAGTGGATGTTTGTGTCATTGGATTGGGAAGGGGATTAACAGAAGACGCTGTGACTGGGAGTGTGTGTCTTTTCTCACGCTTGATTTTATCCAAGGCCTCTAATTCCATACGTAAAGCCTCCTCCTTTCCCACAATCCCTTTGGGCCGGACCACCCCCGGAGAGGCTGGCCTGTCAAACTTAAATCCATTGCCACTGGATATGTGGGCCATGGTGTCAGCTTTGCCTTGCTATGTACATGGGGATACCACTGGGTTCTGGCAGGAACTTTACAACAGGTGCCTACAAGAGGAAATTGAGAGAATAATACATGTTAGTATCAGGAACTCCAGGGCTCGCAAAATCGCTAGCCCTGCCCGACGGGCTATCTTGAATAGTGATATAAAATCCCTTCCTTGATTCACATGGTTCACTCGCTTGTAGGGGTGAAACGGATCATAGTTTCATCATTTACACTCATTCAGCCCGTCTTCAGTTTTTGTTTCGTTCAGATTTTTTATGTAGTATCACAAAGCTAAAGTCAGACAATTTTGCTTTTGTTTCAAATTTCACAATCTAAATAACATGTATGCAGCATCTTTGTTTGGATCGTGATTAAAATACACAGACAAAACCTTAGTTTACTTGCATGGAGAAATGTCTTTTATTTGTATTATTTATTTATTTGATTTGGGATTTGTTTTAAAATTAAAGTTAGTAGCATATTGTTTGACATTTTCAATTTCACAAAGTAATGTGAAGCCTTTTGGTCTGAAAAATAACAAAAGGACACCTTTTTTTAAATCTGTCTTAAATCTCATTTTGTTAAAAAAGAAATTGTGAGAAAATTGTATTGTGAAATCAGTATCGTGAATCATATCACATCGTGAGTTGAGCCAATCATTACATCCCTATATGCTACTAGTTTTTGCTGTGGTATCGAAGTAGTAAATTGTTCTTTAAATAATAAGTGTTACTTAAATAATAAAGAACCATATATTTTTTTGTTCATCTGAAAAAAGATCCGATCTGTGACTCAATGTGATTTGATAAATTAATGTAATCCAAACCTTGAGATTTGTGATCCGTTGCACCCCTACTCTCTTGACTTGTTATTTGAAGAAAAAATACAATATCTTTTATTCGGGCTAGTTAAATTCATTTTTGGGCTACCAAAATCTGAAGAATGCCTGCCCAAAGGGCTACCAGGGATTTTGAAATTTTGCGAGCCCTGAACTCAGGACATCAGTGACTTCAAAAGATGTATTGCATGTCCACTGTGTAACAGAGTGAAATTTCTGTAACAGTTTTTCCGCATACTTTGAATAATGGAATTAAAATGTATTAGTGTTGTAATACTATGAGGCACTAGAGGGCGCGCGTTGGACACACCTGGATTGTATATCAGGTGAGTAGTTGTACGAAGTAGTTGTTCAGTTTGGGTAGAGGGAACACATGTTTCTTTGTGCTACCTTGAACTTCTGGTTGACAAAGTCCTAGTGGAGAAACCTTTGGTTTTAAGCTCGACATGTGAGTATATTTGAATATTGTCTAACTTTTTTATTTAGAATGTGGGAGGAATGTTTATGTTTGGTATTTTCTATTTTTCAGAAGGACTTTTTCCCTTTTCATATCATTTCACTTCCAAATCTGTGGTTGGATACATAACTAATTGTAACGGTGTTCATTCGAATACTGTTTGGAGTGGATATGCCTTTGTGTTTGATTCCTTTGTGGAGGCTCATTCATATGCTAGTCGGAGTTGTCCACGCTAAAGCAGATCAACATATTTCAATGCACTCAATGTTTTTCTTAGGAAAGAATAACTAATTTTTGCCACGGAATGGATCGTCATGTCTCAGATAACAACTAAAAGACTATTCCTTTGGTGTAAAATCAAGGACCAGATCTTGATTGTGTTTATTAGTTTCTTATGTATAGATTATAATTAGTTTTCACTTGAACCCATTTAGCATTGGGGGAATAAAACACAACAACAACAACAAAAAAAGAAAGACTTTGCTGAAGTTCATAAATTGCTTTATTTGATCTTAGTGATGAACCCTCATTTGTGGCTAATCTAAAAATAAAAGAAAGAGAAGTTACAACTGCCAATATGATGCACTGGTAGTGCTATTTCTAAAGCCAGTGGTCAATATAAGCTGCTCTGGGGGATTTTTAACCATCAAATTTCCTGTTCACAATGGCGTGTTTGCAAATATGAGCTTCTTTCACTCACAGTAATGGACCCAGTCCATTTTGCACTAACACTAACATGACATTTTGACATGAATCAAATGAATAAGTCCTTTTTGTTGTTGTTTTGTTATGTTCAATATGAAAGCCCTTGTTAAACATGAAAAGATGGGTGAATGCAACCCTACACCTTACATTAGGAAAAAATGAATTGATTCAGCAGCAACTAAAGCCTGACAAAAAAATGCACAAAGCCGTCAAATATGACAGGATCATAGAAAATCTTTCATTTTACGATCCAACAATCACAAGTTTTGGATTTCTGACAAAGGCATTATGAATATTTTGGATATGAGAAGTCTTTAGATTACGAAATGCTTAAAAAATCATCAGCAAAATACCGTTCATGCGAGTGGCCAGTGAGGGTGTGTCAAAATCTAGATTTAATGGGTTGTGAATGGCAGGCGGTTACAAACACATACCAGACATTTCCCTGTGCCTTACAGGCCCGAGACATGCCAGCTTGCAATTGAAACGGAACCAATTAGTTGCATACTTAAGACAGAATTGGGTTTCAGCTTCTTATTCACAACTTCACTGATTATGTGCTAAAACCCACAAAAAAGGCAGGACTGATTTACGTTACTTAAGTGATGACAAAGCAAGGAGTAATGAAAAAGCACAGAGATGTGTCTCTAACAAGTCAAGACAAAGAAGAATGTGGCATTTAGGGGTGTTATACACAGAGTTTAGTTGATTACAGTTGCCAAGCAATAGCACTTGATGCATTAGTAAAGAATTAACTGATGTTCAGACGCAACAACGAAAATGTAATCATTAAAAAAATTATTCTTCTGCCAAGCAACGTAGATCTTCAGCAACATTTAGCAGAATGGTTGTTCTCCTAAAAGCTGATGAGGTAATTACTGATGTAATGAGGTCAGAGGTGTGTGTTTACGGAGTATTTTACAATGGCTTGGAGCATAGCTCACATATAATCATAATCAAGGACTGGAGCTATCCATTTTATAATAAAGAATTTAACTGATGTACATCTGCAGGTATAAATTCATTGACTATTTTACATCTTCAAATGCTGCTTATGCAATCAGAATTTATAGTTTGAACTATCCATTTAATAATATTAATTTCATAATCAAATTACTTAGTTTGTATTCTGAAGAGACCCTATATAACAAGCTGTTTTTGCACTGTTGCCAGTCTTATCTTAAAAAGCAGAAAATAATTACATGAGTGATGTAAACTATTAAAAAATCTATTTACATTTTTTTTTTAACATTTTTATTTAATATATAAATATTTTTGGTTGAATTTCCAGCAATTTATTTATACAATTACCATAATATAAAATTATTCATATGGTGATAAAAGATTTTGGTCATACCGCCCACCCCTACCACAAATAATCCAAGAACAACATGTTGCACTCCAAGATGCGTTGAGAAATGGTCCTACAGTTTGATTTAGTTTGACAAAGACATCAATGCTGCCAAGCCTGGCCATACTCTCTCCAAGGCCATTGTGTACAGTGAGGAATCTAGCATGCAATCCAGAAGGGTCTCCTCTAACCATTTCTCACAGAAGAGACCAAGCATGTCTTATCAGTAGCTATGTTTCCATCCAAAGATTCAAATTAAACTTATGCGCAAAACTGGAATATCGCATGAAACATATGCGAATACGGCACCGTTTCCATCCAACGAGTCAAAGAGAACAAAATCGTCACTTCCTGGTAAACTGTGGCACTAAATATAACTAAGAATATAGGAGAAGCCACTGAATATAATAATTTTCATTAGGGCTGCACGATAAACGCATGCGATATTTAACGCGCATCTTGTCAGAAAAGCCGGTTCTGTAATCAGCGGTAAATCTTTCTGACAAGATGCGCGTTAAATATCGAATGCGATTTATCGTGCAGCCCTAATTTTCATATATGATATAAATTACTTGCACCTCAGAGCGAGCAGTCATAACACAATAAATGCTGTCGGAGGTGGATGCTGCTGTTTGGGAACGTAGTCATGTAAGACAATTATACAGAAATACTTTGACGACAGACTTTGCTCAGGTATTTCAGAATGACCATAACTAGGCCTGTCGCAATAATCAATATATTGACTTATCGCGCAATATATGTACATGACCTCAATCATTTTTTGGTGCCGCAATATATCGCACATTATATTTACATAAAAATTAATGTCACCATGTTTTTTGCATTCCACTTGCGCCTGTATCTTTTGCAGCTTATCGTACATAACGTGGTGGCGCTAGTTCAAATTTTAAAAATGCTTCTACAAACGGTTTCATCTGCAGATACAGTGGGTACGGAAAGTATTCAGACCCCCTTAAATTTTTCACAATTCTGTCTCTGAGCTCTTCAGGCAGTTCCTTTGACCTCATGATTCTCATTTGCTCTGACATGCACTGTGAGCTGTGAGGTCTTATATAGACAGGTGTGTGGCTTTGCTAATCAAGTCCAATCAGTATAATCAAACACAGCTGGACTCGAATGAAGGTGTAGAACCATCTCAAGGATGATCAGAAGAAATGGACAGCACCTGCGTTAAATATATGAGTGTCACAGCAAAGGGTCTGAATACTTAGGACCATGTGATATTTCAGTTTTTCTTTTTTAATAAATCTGCAAAAATGTCAACAATTCTGTGTTTTTCTGTCAATCTGGGGGGCTGTGTGTACATTAATGAGGAAAAAAATTAACTTAAATGATTTTAGCAAATGGCTGCAATATAACAAAGAGTGAAAAATTTAAGGGGGTCTGAATACTTTCCGTACCCACTGTATGGTCTTGTTTAGGGATCTGTGTCTTTGTGCATACGGATATATCTGACTGCTAAGTAGTGATTGTGTTTTTCAGCAATAGTGTGCACACTTAATTTACAGAGAAAAGAAGGTCAGGGAAAAATCTGTAAATGGAAAAATCTCCATACAAGTTCTTTGTGCATTTTTCTTTTTTTCTATTTGTTACTTTGCACTTTTTGTTAGAAAATGTTTATTTACTATTTATTCAAGTTTTTTAAGGTGTCTAATATTCTGATACTTAATTTCCATGATCTAAATATTCTTAAGAATTAAACGTTTGTTGTCATTTGGAAGGGTGTAGGCCTTCTCGCATTTTTATGCTGTTACATTATGATTATATATTCAGTGGCATAAAATTGACTTTAAAATGACAATAATATCGCTTAACGCAATTATTTCTGGGGCAATATATCGCACAACAAAAAGATGTTATCGTGACAGGCCAAACCATAACAACATATAGATGCTGTGAATGAGATCGGTCCGCTGCTAGTCAAGTTATCCCGTCTTATAGCGCAAAGTCACATGACTTTTTCGATGTGCATGGAGGAATTTATTCGCTAAATGCATTTCCATCGTAGTTTATGCGCATATTTTCTTCTGGGATAAAACGTTTATCCTACTCAAATGTGCGCATAAGTTTTTTTATGTGCATTTTTAGAATTTATGCGCATCTTGGCGTTTCCATCCAGCGTTTTTTTTATGCGATATTCCAAAATGTGCATAAAAATAGGTGGATGGAAACGCAGCTAGTAAGGCATCAATTGTGCAAAAAGATGATGCTTAAGTATTTAGTATGCTACATTATGAAATCATGAAGAAATGTGCTCAAACCCGATGCGCTTTGCACTTGTTATAAAAAATATATATACATATATATATATATATATATACACACACACATACACGCATAAAAAAAAGACCCATTTTATAGTGCCAAACCTTCTATAAAAACAGCATTTTTTTGACTAACAGATCTTCGTTAGATCTGTTTTCTGGTTCAAAATATATTATTTAAGATGACTATGACAGATATGACAAAACAGATGGAGCGCAACATCTAGTTACTATTTCTCCTTCTCAAAGATGTTATCGTGACAGGCCAAACCATAACAACATATAGATGCTGTGAATGAGATCGGTCCGCTGCTAGTCAAGTTATCCCGTCTTATAGCGCAAAGTCACATGACTTTTTCGATGTGCATGGAGGAATTTATTCGCTAAATGCATTTCCATCGTAGTTTATGCGCATATTTTCTTATGGGATAAAACGTTTATCCTACTCAAATGTGCGCATAAGTTTTTTTATGTGCATTTTTAGAATTTATGCGCATCTTGGCATTTCCATCCAGCGTTTTTTTATGCGATATTCCAAAATGTGCATAAAAATAGGTGGATGGAAATGCAGCTAGTAAGGCATCAATTGTGCAAAAAGATGATGCTTAAGTATTTAGTATGCTACATTATGAAATCATGAAGAAATGTGCTCAAAACCGATGCGCTTTGCACTTGTTATAAAAAAAATATATACATATATATATATACACACACACATACACGCATAAAAAAAAAGACCCATTTTATAGTGCCAAACCTTCTATAAAAACAGCATTTTTTTTTGACTAACAGATCTTCGTTAGATCTGTTTTCTGGTTCAAAATATATTATTTAAGATGACTATGACAGATATGACAAAACAGATGGAGCGCAACATCTAGTTACTATTTCTCCTTCTCTTTTTCATGTCAGAAGTATAAAAGCAGGTGGCAAGCATACTCTGTGCTCAAGGATTTATCAAATCTTTGCAGCTCAAACCTCCTGGGAACAGTTCTCACCCCTCAGGGTGCATGCCTGACTGCACTGTTTTAACAATGAGAAGCATCACTTGTTTATGCATTTGAAAACCCACAAATGGAAAACCATTCAAAGGTGGTGTCAAATCAAAACGGAAGTCGGCAAAAGTGTCTTTGCACTTTACAATAAAATTATCAAGCTTCAGTGCAGCTGTTCAAAGTACAGAAGTCACTCACAAGACTTAATGCATAACTATCCTATACTATAATGCATATAGCTTTTAGAAGACAGCGTGCCAGTTTATGAACATCGGTTCGCTTTTACGCCTCAGAAATAGACTCAACACAAAGCACGAGGCTGAAATACACAGTTTCATTTGAGATGCTTTTCTAAGCACTTGCAAAACATGTCAAGAGAAGACAAATAGTTCCCAAGACGGTGAGAATGTCCAGAAGGGTAAATGGATGATAGCCAACACAATACAGCACTTGTAATGTGTGAAATCTGTCATTATACACATTCAGTTTACAGTAAACACAATATAGTGAGTTTACGTGACAGAAAACAATTGCATATCACATGCATATCCAGTACACATGCATATCCAGCTAGCATACCCAAGGCACATGATTCATGCATATAAATAAAATGATGCAACACTGCAAGAACAACACGATTACATGCCACCATTTCAGCTGAACTTTTAAAGAAGCCATATGTGCTGAATCCACAAAATTACACAAGCCCATTTCAGTTATGTCTGGCAAAAGTCTGACAAAACCTGCTTCTCCAACCAGTTAAGGTAATACAACAATATTGACTAAAACCGGCATACAAAAGAGCTTTTATTCCTCGCAGAAACATTCAGACATTATAATTATTTTAATGCATAACTATCCTATACTATAATGCATATAGCTTTTAGAAGACAGCGTGCCAGTTTATGAACATCGGTTCGCTTTTACGCCTCAGAAATAGACTCAACACAAAGCACGAGGCTGAAATACACAGTTTCATTTGAGATGCTTTTCTAAGCACTTGCAAAACATGTCAAGAGAAGACAAATAGTTCCCAAGACGGTGAGAATGTCCAGAAGGGTAAATGGATGATAGACAACACAATACAGCACTTGTAATGTGTGAAATCTGTCATTACACACATTCAGTTTACAGTAAACACAATATAGTGAGTTTACGTGACAGAAAACAATTGCAGGACAGACAAAAAATAAGTTACACATGCATATCCAGCTAGCATACCCAAGGCACATGATTCATGCATATAAATAAAATGATGCAACACTGCAAGAACAACACGATTACATGCCACCATTTCAGCTGAACTTTTAAAGAAGCCATATGTGCTGAATCCACAAAATTACACAAGCCCATTTCAGTTATGTCTGGCAAAAGTCTGACAAAACCTGCTTCTCCAACCAGTTAAGTTAATACAACAATATTGACTAAAACCGGCATACAAAAGAGCTTTTATTACTCGCACAAACATTCAGACATTATAATTATTACACATACCATCAACTGTGCTATTTCAGCTTGTTTGAAATAAGAAAAAATGCGGAATGGCGGTCCAAGCAAATAACGCATCATATTTTCTGGCATATAAAAACTTATCAGCAACTTTAAAAACAGATGAGAGAATGATAGAATTAATGTCAAATCCTATAGGATAAATTAGTGTTATGGGCTTTACCCTTTTAGTGAAGGTGCAGCAGAGTTGAGCTTCATCACTGACTTTCATTAACCTGTTCTGAACGCAAAAAGGGATTTATTAAATATATGAAATATTGTTCAATTTAAGTGATCAATATAGAAATGCAACCCCGACTTACCTGAATAATTCATAAAGGGGAAATACTGTTTAAAAGACTTTTCAGAAATTAAACAAACGTTTATGTTGCAAAGTATACAACAAAATAGATAACCAAAGAAGCCACCAGTCTCTACACTGCCATAAATACAGATACATATTTCAAATATTGCAGTCAGCACGGTAAATATTCTGCCACGAACATTGTAAAGCATCTCCTAAAACTACGTCTTGATACTTAAACAAAAGATCTCTCGTAAAAAGTTGTTTCCGAAACTTTTACGCAATGTTTCAGCAAATATTTCGGCATTTCGGCGCACTTCACGCGCCAAGAAAAGTGCAAACACAAGCAGGAGAAAAACAAACACAAATACTCGGACAACCTACTATACTTCCGGGAGGCGGACAAATAGAGCTGACGGGTAAACTTAGATGGATTGTAAGAGTTTGTGTGAATAAATGACGATTCCCACCTTCAGAGTCTCCGATCTTTGACGCTGGACATTTTCCTCCAGCTGGAAAATTAGCTCATGTAGTCGTAGACAGACTACTAACGTCAGTTCCTGCTGGAGATCAGAGAGGAAAGATTACAGAGAAACAGCGACATCTAGAGCTCAGAAAACACACTACGACTCTTTTGGTTCCAAGAGCATTACCGCCATCTACTGTGGTAATGGATCAGAGACACTATATCCCTCCCTAGCGTTACTGCCCAGACCCAGACCATTCAGGACTCGTGCTTTCAATATTGCTGCGTGTTCAGCCCCTCCATCTACAGCCCAAGTCCATCACAGTCCAGAGAGGAGAAATGACAACAATATTATTATTATTATTAATACTACTACTATTATTATCACTATCACTACCATTGCTATCATTATTAATAATAATAACAATAGCCTGTCTATATTCTATTCATTAAACGAGTTCTATTTAAAAATTATATTAATAAATGATCCCCTTCTACTGGATTTAAAAGCTTTTTTAATGTTAATTGTTGAACACCTTTCTTCTTAAATTCTTCTATTATATTACTTCTTTCCTCTGAATATCTATTACACTTAATGAGTACATGTTCCACTGTTTCTTTAATACCACACCAGTCACACAATCCTGTAGGGTGTTTTCCTATTACATGCATTGTTGAATTAAGACCTGCATGTCCAAGGCTTAATCTAGAAATCATACAGTCTTCTTTCCTTCTCCCACTTGAATTCTTTTCAAGTATTAAGTATTAAGTGTAGATGCCTTCCCTTTTATTCATTATCCCAATAAGATTGCCAGTTTTTATTTATCTCCCTTTTTATTAATGCTTTGCTATACATTATTTCCATATGATCTATATTTTCCTTTGCCATAACTTGTTTTGCTAACTTGTCTGCTGCTTCATTCCCTGAGACTCCAGTATGTGCCGGAACCCACAAAAACGGAACTATTTTATTTGTCTGTTGTATCATGTACAATATCTGTAGTATCTCCAAAACAATATCTTGCCTAGTTTCTGACTTTTGAGCTTCTAGGCATAACAAAGCTGAGCTTGAATCTGAGCATATTACAGATCTGCTTAGTCCTATTTCATTTATTTTATTCATTGCTGTCATAATTGCTATTAACTCTCCTGTAAACACAGAAACATGATCTGTTATTCTTTTCCCTCTTGCTACTTTCAACCTTGGAATGATATATGCCAGCCCCACCTGACCATTCTGTGGATCCTTAGATGCATCTGTGTAAACCTGTATATATTGTTCATACTTGGATCTAATATATTCTTTTGTCAGCTCTGCTTCTAACATACTCTGATCCTTATCTTGTCTTGATTCCAATAAGAATAGATCTATATTTGGTTGTGGTAAAATCCATATTGGCGTTGCTTGTAATATTACTGCTGGAATGACACTGTTCTTATTTAATTTCATGTCCTTAATGATCCATCCAAAACTGTTAACTTTCCTTTTCCCGTGTTCCCAACATGCCTCAATTATACCTTTTGTCGTGTGACTCTTTTGGTTGTCTAACTACTTTATCAAATTAAAATAGCGCATCAATGCCACCTACTGTTATAATATTCCAAGTATTTATATTTCATTTATTATCCCAGACAACCAGCTTCAGTACTAGTGTTGCCATTTTATGTATTTGCCCCTTCATTGATAAAGGATAATATTTTTATATATATATTTAATATATATCAACGTCATTCCTTTCCATAACTTGCTTTGTCAAAATGTCTTCCTTTGAAAAATAATGTGAAAAAATTGAACATTTCTTTTCAGTTTGACACAATGACAACGGTAAAGCATTGTTACGTAATGGAAGTAGCCTAACAGAACTGTTATTGTTTTAATGGGAAATACAATTTAAATGGGAAAGTTTCACATGCCTGACTCCAAACCAAATCTAAAAATGATTTCAAACTTCATTTTAATGTTTTACACAATCGTAAAGGTAAAAAGGCTTAGCAAGTATGAATTTGTTGCATAAAGATTTTTTCCTCTTGTATATTAGGCCTATTATATATTAGCCTTTTTTTCTATCTATTTCATTATCTATATTTCTTATTTTTTATCTTACACACACACACACACACACACACACACACACACATACAGTACTGTGCAAATGTCTTAGGCCATTAGCATTTTCACCAAAAAAAAAGGTTTTAAGCCAGTTATTTCTATCTTTTGCTGTAGTGTTTCAGTAGGAAATATCAGTTTACATTTCCAAACATTCCTTTTGACCTTAATTGTAATAATCCGGTGTGATTTTTGTTTGCACAAGGAGTCTGACAGCAGCCAGTGCTCCACACAGATATCTGATCGCACCAACATCCAGTCCGGCTGGGATTACATGAAAAAACTGAAAAAACTGAGACACACTAAATCCAGAAGAACTGTGGCAACGTCTTCAAGACACTTGAAGAAACCTACCTACGCTTCCCGAAAAACTGTACAAGTGTACCTAGGACAAAAGCTGTTTTAAACACAAAGGGTGTTGATTTGATTTAGTTAAAAGAAGTTAATTGATGAATAAAACCTATTTATGACATTATTTTTGAAAGCATCCTCACTTTACAGCATTTTTACACAAGTGCCTAAAACTTTTCACGGTACTGTAGCTTTGCAGGAAGGTTTCTTCAAGTGTCTTGAAGACGTTGCCACAGTTCATCTGGATTTAGTCTGACTCAGTTTTTTCTGTTTTTTCATGATATAGAAATAACTGGCTTAAAACCTTTTTTTTGGTGAAAATACTAATGGCCTAAGACATTTGCACAGTACTGTATTCATATATATATATATATATATATATATATATATATATATATATATGCTTAATGTAATGAAAAAATATAAAAATAAGTGACAATATACATTTTGAGTTTGATATTTAAACTTTGATTTCATGTGTTCATGTACTGAATTTGTTAGACGTTTGGCAGAAACAGATCAGTTGTACACACAGCAAAACGGTGAGTGAGAGTAGGGATGCAGCAGCCAAAACAAACCTAAAAAAAATTGGATATAATACAGGCTAAAGCTTTAAGAGTATGTACTGGAGCATTTCGACATACTCCAAATAATGTCTTAATGATAGCAACAGAAGAATTACCACTAGATATAAGAAGAAACAAAATATCTCTGGCATATTGGAGTAGATTGGAAAGTAGTAAACAAGAACATCAAACTAAGAAAATACTTGGAAGACTGTTGGGAATATAAAATAAATCCAGGAAGGGGTTTTGGGTGGACAATAAAAGGTGAAGTGGATAAATATAAATTATCGAAAATAGTATTAGGACCGTCTGTAGCAATAGGAATAATCCCACCATGGTTATTTCCTATGGCAAATGTATAAATTTAAACAAAAATAAAGAAATATATGAAAATAATACTAAAGTATATATAGAGAAATACATACAATCGAATTATTTTTCATACTTACAGATATTTACAGACGGATCAAAGGTCTGGGGTGACAGGTATAGGAATATTTATTCCAGAGTTCGAAATAAGCATATTCAAAAGATTATCAAATAATTTAGCAATATATACAGTAGAATTAGTTGCAATAATGGTTGCAGCAGTGGATAGAAGATGTTAGACCAGATAGAGTAATTATATGTTCAGACTCTATGTCAGCACTAAATAGTTTGGTTTCATATAAATCCATTAGAGAAGACATTTTAAATGATATATGTATGACATTAAAATCTCTAAACAGTATGAGAATAAATGTCAAATTTTGTTGGGTTCCGGCTCACACAGGAATCAATTGAAATGAAATAGCAGATAAGTTAGCAAAAAAGGCAACCAAAAAAGGATATCGAGATTGAAGTCCCATTAGGAAGAGGAGAAATGAAATCAATTATAAAATCAAATATTCAAAAAGAGTGGCAGAAGAAGTGGGACATAGCTGATACAGGACGGTTTTATTATCAAATTAATTCATCAGTTAAAGAAGTATCACATTTTGGAAGATGTAGGAAAGATGAGGTGATTTTAAATAGATTACAGTTTGGGCACACAGGACTAAATGCATCACTGTACAAAATAGGTAAACATATTACAGGTAAATGTGCTTTTTGTGGGGTGTACATGTAATATTAAAATGTCGGAAATATAATATAGAGAGAATTAAAATGATAAAGAACTTAAATGGTAATAATAAAGAAAAAAAGAAGATAAATTGGATATTAGGAAAAGGATTAAGAGAAGGTATTAATCAAAGAATAGTAATGGAATATATAGTAGAAACAGGATGAAATAAACGCATTTATAAATAAATAAAGCAAAGGAATAGGGGAACACACAAGCTGGGTTTTTTGGCATGGGAGCTGAACACGCAGCAGCCAGAAATACAGCTTGGGTGAGCCCGAAATAAAATTAACAATTAAAAAATAAATAAATGAATAAATAAAATATGAATAGAGGCGGTACTATCACCCATGTATGATTAGAAACAGTTGGTGGCGGTATGTGCTTATGGTGTGGAATACGCCAAAAAATTCCAAAGAAAAAGAAGAAGAGCGTACGGATGACTGGAGCGCACCATGGCAACAAGTTCAGCTGAAAACTTTAGCTATCAGCCTTTCAAAAAGTAAGTGTTTTGTTTCTTAAATATGTATTGTGAATTCTTCCTATGGCTGCCTCAAATAAAAAGACAACAGAGTGTTAGTTTTGACATTAATTTTCATGTTTCGACGTTTTGTAGTGGTTTATTTAAAGTGAAATACTTCGCAGTTAGCGACAGGCACACTAAAATGCGTCCCACAATATCAGATATTCATCATACCCCAAAATGAGATACTGTATATGTTATGGGTATTTTTATTTGAATTCATTTTCTGGCTGTAGACTGCAGTAATTTGAACCCGTTTGTTATACTTTTTCCTTACCATCAGTATTCTAAGATGCTTTAAGATGGAAATTTGTAGCCCATCCCACCACAAGAGGGCACTTAAAGGTTCATGAAACCACCCTTTTCAGCACTGGTTAGTTCTCGCCACAGTTTTAAAAAATGCTATTAAAAAAAGTGGGCGTGGTGCGCCAGCGGATGAGAGGAGGGGGAAGAGTGGAGACAGACAACACACACTGCTTAGCGTTCAGACGGTTTCATTTCGCTCCCATTGAGATAAAAACACAAATAAATGCGCAGCCATTTGCACTCTGCATCGAAAACATATACAGTATATGAACGCGCTGTTACACTTCTGAGAACTTTTAAGGCATATTCTGTGGCGTTTATATACAGGTTGTGTCACAGAGCTGTAAAAACAGTTATGCTTACCAAGTGAATGAATCGCGTTTGTGCCGAACTCTTATTACAAAGCAAAAACAAACACTCTTCTTCGATCCATGAATGTTTCTCTCAGTTATTGTGCGCGATGTCATCTCAGTCTGAAGCGTCTGTCATAGTATTGTAACGAGTCAGAAGCGTTTGGATCCATTTGCAGCTTTATTTAGAATAGTCAGAGAATACAGGGTCAAATACCGGCAAGACAGAACAGCTGGGACAGAGTCAAATACCAGGCGAGAGATCGGGGCTGGTGGCAAGCAAACACAGTCCAGGTGAAACAATCCAAGATCAGGGCAGGCAGAGAACAATCAGAAAACACAGGAGACAGTCCAAGATCAAACACAAGAAAGCAAACACGGGTATAACGCTCAGACATGACAGCCAGGGCAAATCAAGACTTCGCAGAGAGTCTGTGTGTGTGAGTGGCTTATATGTGTGTGTGTGTAAATGAGGTGCAGGTGTGGATGGGAAATCAGTCCCAGGTATGAGGGGTGATGGGAATTGGAGTCCGAATGGAAATGGTTAATATTCAGGAGACGGTTCCCTCTAGTGGTGCGGAGGAGGCGGTACGGGAGCCTCCTCTGTAACAGAGTCCTCCCCCTGCGAGCGGCTCCTGACACGAGAAAGCACACGACGCCGGGGTCTCCCACGGGGTCGGGGGGCCGGTTTCTCCGGATGCGTTCTGTGAAACTCCTCAGTGAGTGTGGGGTCCAGGATATCTCCTGCGTTGACCCAAGATCGCTCCTCCAGACGAACCCCTCCCAATCGACCAGATACTGGAGGGTACTGCCCCGGCGTCTGGAGTCTAGCAACTCATGCACTCGATACGCCTCCTTGCCATCAACCAGGAAAGGCAGGGGGGTCTGCAGTCTGGCTCCCTCCTCCGTCTCTCCTCTCAGACCACCAGCGGGTTTCAGCAGTGATACATGGAATGTGGGAGAAATGCGGTAATTAGAGGGCAGTTCCAAATTAATTGATACTGGAGATATTTGTCTAGAAATTTTTAAGGGACCAACATACCTGGGACTAAGCTTTTTACATGGAAGTCGGAGGCATAGATCTTTGGTTGAAAGCCAAACCCATTGGCCTGGGATGTACTCGGGACTGGGACGTCGATGTCGGTTGGCTTGTTGTTCTTGACGCCTTACGGCATGAAGTAGGTGAGTATGTGCCCGGTCCCAGACCTCCTCGCTGTGTTGCAACCAATCGATGACTGAAGGTAATTCGGTGGGTTCGCCAGACCAGGGAAACAATGGAGGTTGGAAGCCCAGAATGCACTGGAAAGGGGTCATACCGGTGGAGGGTTTCCTCAATGAGTTTTGGGCATATTCTGCCCATAGCAAGTACCTGCTCCAGTCTGTTTGTTGTTGTTGACAGTAAGATCTGAGGAATCATATCACCTCCTGATTCAGGCGCTCAGTTTACCCGTTGGATTGGGGGTGATAGCCGGACGTGAGGCTGATGTTCACATTGAGATGCCTGAAAAAGGCGGACCATACCCTAGAAGTGAACTGAAGTCCTCGATCGGATACTATGTCGTCGGGTAATCCGTAGAAACTGAACACATGATTACAAAGTAGTTCAGTGGTTTCGAAGGATGTGGGGAGTTTAGGCAGCGGAATCAGAAGGCAGGCTTTGGAGAAACAATGGTGAATATAGTGGTGTTACCTTGAGAATTGGGCAGGTCGGTGATGAAATCGATGGCAATATGAGACCAAGGTCGGTGTGGTGTAGGTAGTGGATTTAGCAAACCGGCTGGAAGCTGTAGGGGATTTGGATGTGTTGCATGTGATACAGTTCTGGATAAATTTGGTTGTGTCAGTCAGCAACGTGGACCACCAAAATCATTTCCTGAGCAGATTTTCTGTGGTACTTGGGTTAGAAGTCGTGGTCGAAGGGATTCAGGGACATAGGTGAAGTTTGCAGGGCATTCAGGAGGTGGCGGATTTTGAAGATTCAGATGTTCAATCTCAGTCATGATATCCCATTGTACTGGTGCCAAGAGCAGCTTGTCCGGAATGATATTGTTGTTGGAAATGGATTGGATTGTTTCCTCAGTTTGGCGAGAGAGAGCGTCAGCCTTGGTATTCTTGGTGCCTGGCCGGTATGTCACCGTGAACCGAAACCTTGTGAAAAACAATGCCCACCTGGCCTGTAGGGGATTTAGATGCTTAGCTGAGCACAGATACTCAAGAGTTTTATGATCCGTGAGAACAATGAATGGATGAGCAGCTCCCTCCAGCCAATGACGCCATTCCTCAAGCGCTAACTTTATAGCCAGAAGTTCACGGTTGCCCACGTCGTAATTCCGTTCCGCGGCTGTGAGTTTGCGGGAGAAAAAGGCACATGGATACATTTTTGCTGGTGAGCCATGACGTTGAGACAGTATTGCCCCTACCTCCGTGTTAGAAGCGTCGACCTCAGGCCCGCTAGGACTGGGGGGGCAATCAGAAATTGTGGTAGGGCAGCACTTTCTAGGGTAATATATTCATAGTTTACTTTTATTTAGGCTACTCAATTTTCAGTCTTGCATTTTGTGTCTGTGTGAGTGCAGAAATGTTAAATATGTTTCAACTTTAGTTAGTCTGTAATGTTGCTGTTTGAGCATAAAAAAGATCTGCAAAGTTACAAAGCTCAAAGTCCAATTCAAAAGGAGATATTTTACTTAACAGAAATCACTTTTCAAAGACTACAACGAACAATTATTTTGGACTACAACGCATATTTTCCGGGATTTGTGATGATGACCAACGAATGGGACGAGACCTGGTTAATCTGCACTAGAGAAGGCAACAAGTAAGGTGGCCATATGCACCGTTCATACGGGACACGTTTGTCCAATAACATGCAGGTATTGTATATAATCGACCAATCGTGTGGCTGTCGTGAGATGGTGAGATTTACAGGGAACGTTTAAAACGATGCAAATATGCGCACGTGTTTGTGAACCGAAACCTTGTGAAAAACAATGCCCACCTGGCCTGTCGGGGGTTTAGATGCTTAGCTGAGCGCAGATACTCAAGATTTGTATGATCCGTGAGAACGATGAACGGATGAGCAGCTCCCTCCAGCCAAAAGTTCAAGGTTGCCCACGTCGTAATTCCGTTCCGCAGCTGTGAGTTTGCGGGAGAAAAAGGTGAGCCATGACATTGAGACAGTATTGCCCCTACCCCCGTGTTAGAAGTGTCAACCTCCACAATGAACTCGCATTCTGGGTCGGGGTGTCGAAGGATGGGTGCGGAAGTGAACCGAGTCTTTAGTTTGTTGAATGCTTGACGTGACTCGGGTGACCAAAACAATCTAGCAGCGTGACGTTTGGTCATGGTTGTCAGAGGGGCGGCGACTGCACTGAAGTCTTTGATAAATCACCTGTAGAAATTTGCAAATCCTAGGAAGCGTTGTAATTCTATGACTGTCTGGGGTTGTGACCAGTCCAGGACCGCTTTGACCTTCCTTTCATCCATTGCTACCCCCTCCTGGCTGATCACGTAACCGAGGAACGAGATGCTGGTTTGATGGAATTCACACTTTTCAGCTTTGGTGTACAGTTGGTATTGCATGAGGCGTTTCAGCACTGATCTGACATGACGAATGTGTTCCTCCAGAGTGTTTGAATAAATCAGTATATCGTCAATGTATACGATTACCCATCTGTCGAGCATGTCACGGAAGATGTCGTTCATGAATGACTGGAAGACTGACGGACTGTTGGCAAGGCCGAAGGGCATAACCAAGTATTCATAGTGCCCACTAGTGGTCGAGAATGCTGTTTTCCATTCATCTCCCTCTCTGATACAAATCAGGTTGTAGGCATTGCGTAGATCTAGCTTGGTGTAATACTTGGCCCGGCGAAGCTGTTCTAGCGCGGCTGGGACTAGGGACAATGGATAACGGAACTTAATGGTGGTATCGTTGAGGCCACGGTAATCAATGCATGGCCGCAAACTTCCATCCTTTTTATTTACGAAGAAGAACCCGGCTGAAGCGGGAGAGGTTGAGGGTCGGATGAATCCTTTAGCTAATTCCTCCTCGATGTAGAGTTTCATGGCTTCAGATTCTGGTTGTGACAACGGGAAAATTCTACCTTTAGGAGGATTGGCGGCGGGCGTTAAGTCTATGGCACAGTCGACAGAACGGTGAGTGGGGAGCCGAGATGCTTTCTTTTTACTGAACGCCTCGGTGAGATCAGAGTACTCTGGGGGCAGGTTCAGATTGTCTGTGCTCTGAACAGGCGGGGAAGGTGCATGACTGGAAGCTCGGGGAATCTTTGAGAGACAAAAATCTTGGCATGTAGCGTCCCACTGAAAAATTTGTCCCTCTCTCCAAGAGGCATGGATTATGTGTGCGCAGCCAGGGTAATCCGAGAATAATAGCGTGATTAGGCGAGTGGATGACGTAGAATCGGATGAATTCAGAGTGCAGGGTTCCTATTTGTGACGAACCATCCATTCTCCAGACAGCGGTCACCCACTCCAGCGCCTTCCCAGTGAGTAATGAGCAAACGAAAGCAATGGGGCTAGAGTCTGTGGGGTACAGCGAGGGCTGTTGGTTAACAGAAAGTGAGCACTGGAGTAGGAAGCCCTTGCATCTGGCGTGTTCACCATCAAATGTTTCGGGGAAAGCGAGTCGTGGACTGATTGGGGGTGTCTGGGCAGGTGGAGGGCTACTGCGAATAGGCAGTTGTTGAGAGGCGGCTTCGGGTGACGATATGTTGAGTCCTTGCAGTGCTTTTACCAGCTCCTCGGTTAACGTAGTAAGCCGGTTTAACTGGTGTTGGTGCATGGCGAGCTGTGAGGCCTGTGCAGTTAGCGCTGTGGATAGTTGCACGAACGCTGCTGGATCGCTGTTTGGCGAAGTCTTCTGTTGTAACGAGTCAGAAGCGTTTGGATCCATTTGCAGCTTTATTTAGAATAGTCAGAAAATACAGGGTCAAATACCGGCAAGACAGAACAGCAGGGGCTTGGACAGAGACAGAGTCAAATACCAGGTGAGAGATCGGGGCTGGCGGCAAGCAAACACAGTCCAGGTGAAACAATCCAAGATCAGGGCAGGCAGAGAACAATCAGAAAACACAGGAGACAGTCCAAGATCAAACACAAGAAAGCAAACACGGGTATAATGCTCAGAGATGACAGCCAGGGCAAATCAAAACTTCGCAGAGAGTCTGTGTGTGAGTGGCTTATATGTGTGTGTGTGTAAATGAGGTGCAGGTGTGGATGGGAAATCAGTCCCAGGTATGAGGGGTGATGGGAATTGGAGTCCGAATGGAAATGGTTAATATTCAGGAGACGGTTCCCTCTAGTGGTGCGGAGGAGGCGGTACGGGAGCCTCCTCTGTAACACATAGCATATCAATGCTGTTGTGAATAATTAAGCGAAGCATCTTCTCATAGGATAAAAACATGCAGTCTCATGAATAATTTAATAGACGCCGACGCGTCATTGATGTACTATAGTCCATTGCCACGTCACAAATTGTGACGTCAACACAATGTAGATTTTAAACCCGGAAGATGAAAATAGCGCAAAAAAGCTTAAAATTAACCAGCTTTCTCCAACAGTTAAAATTATCGGATGCTAACATTGTCTTCTGTGATGTGCAACACAGAAACCTCTGCTAAAATCTCAGAAAAAGTAGTCTGGGGTTTTCACACATACTGGTAAAAAATGTATAGCCTGGATGCACTGTCAGTCGCTTTGGATAAAAGCGATCTGCTAAATGCATAAATTATTATTATTATTATTATTATGACCTTGTAAGACCATCTTGTAAGTGATGGGGTCTAATTTGTTTGTATTTGTGTGTTTATCTGGTTTAGAGATTAGATACACAACTCTCCTTTTGCTGATGGTTTGTTGTTCATCAGGAGTAACTGGAAACCAAATCGTCCAAGAGGATCATTTAGGCAAACATAACCATGAACATAATGCAAATATGTTCCTTGGCTCTGAGGTATCAACACTATGGTTCTTAATAACAGTTATTTATCCCGTTTCATTCTACCAACTAACTTATCACTGTTTTTCAGGACAAAGATGAAATACAGAAACTCAGCCCATCTGAGCAGCGAAAGCGACTGGTAGAGATAGTGAAGAAGATTGACACCAACTCTGATAAATACCTTACTCCAGGTCAGTTCTGATTTGATTGACTGCTATATTATCATGTACACATGAGATGTGTCTAAACTACCATTAAGAAGTTTAGGGTCAGTAAGATCGTTTTTGACGGTTACTTTTTTGAATCGTGCAAGCGGATTTTTTTGGCGCTAAACAGAAGAGGTGAAAGGGAGAATGAGAGGACAAATAGATGTTTTAGAAAAAAGTCTGTAATGCTCACCAAGGCTTCATTTATTTGATCAAAAATACTGTAAAAACAGCAATATTGGGAAATTAGTTACATAGTAAAATGACTGTTTTCTATTTTAATATGTTTTAAACTGTAATTTATTCCTATGATGGCAAAGCTGAATTTTCAACATCATTACTCCAGTCTTCAGTGCCACGTGATCCTTCAGAAATCATTCTAATATGCTGATTTGCTGCTCAAGAAACATTTCTTATTATTATCAATGTTGAAAACAGTTGTGCTGCTTATGTTTGTGGAAACCATGATGCATTTTTCCAGGATTCTTTGATGAATATAAACTAAAAAGAACATTTTATTTGAAATATAAATATTTTGTTACATTGTAAACATCTTTACTGTCACTTTTGATCAATTTAATGTGTCCTTGCTGAATAAAAGTATTAATTTCTTTAAAAAAGATCATACTGACCCCAAACTTTTGAACTGTAGTCAGTGTTACAATTAAAAAAACATTCTCTGTTGCTTCTAGAGGAAATCACATTATGGATACAGAGGGTGTACAGGAGATATGCGCTGGATGATGCTGAGGAACGCTTCCCTGAGTTTGACTCCAACAGTGATGGTCTGGTATCTTGGGACGAATACAATATGGTCTTGCATGGTCATACTGTGGAAGTTGATGTAGATGCTGTTCTTGAAGAACCTGAGGAGGAGTCTCTCAGATTTGTATGTTGCATAATTTATTATTAACATTTCATATTGTGGAACAGCGAAGAAAGGTCTTGCGTGATTGAAAAAAAAAAAGGTTTTATCCACTCACAGCTCCATGCAAAGGAAAAAAGACTTTTTGACTTTGCCGATATGGATGGCTCAGCTGGCCTGAACTTTACTGAGTTCCTTGCATTTACTCATCCGTCTGAGGTGGATCACATGGCTGTAAGTATAAAATGAAGCTGCAATAAATCATAAATATAATTAGAGATTAAACATTCATCTTAGCTATGTGCTTTGTGGTTCTAGGATTTTGCCATTGAAGACGTCCTTTCTGAATATGACTTGGATAAAGATGGATTCATCAGCTTGAGTGAATTCATTGGAGATCTCAGAGCAAATGGTATGACTACGTTGGGATTAATAACAATATATTTTGTCAATACACTAGTGATTATTAAAAAAAGTCCAACAAACAATTAATGGCTGAAATTACATTTCTACACTATATATTCTACACTATATAGTCTGAATAATTTTAATTTTACACTGCAAAAAATGGCTTATCTTACTTAGTATTTTTTGTCTTGTTTCTAGTCAAAATAATCTAAAAATTCTTAAATCAAGATACTTTTACTAGATAAGCCAATTGACTTAAGATATTTAGTCTTGTTTCCAGGGGGAAAAAACTAAATGAAGTGCATTTTGCTTAAAACAAGTAAAATTATCTGCCAGTGGGGTAAGTAAAATGCTCTTGTTTTAAGAATATTTTACTTACCCCACTGGCAGATAATTTTACTTGTTTTAAGCAAAATGCACTTCATTTAGTTTTTTAGTAATGTACAGTATGAAAAATGTATGTTCATTTTGAGATTTGCTAAACATTACATTCATCCGTTTTATTAAATTATTAGCATTTTTGTAGAATTTAATAGGGAAAATAAATATAAACAATTAAATTGTCACGAATCCGGTCCATGAACTTTCTTTCTGCTAGCCATCAGTGGTCACCCTTTCCAATTTCATTGACTCTTGCACTACACATTGTTGCACATCACCCCGGACTACATATCCCATTATTCATTGCACTGATTGCACTCAGCAGGGATTGCACACAGCTGTTAACACTGATTGCACCCAGCTGTTTCATATCACTCCCTCACTATTTAACACTCACTCTGATCCCTTCCCTCTGCCGAGTATTGTTTAGCGCATATCTTTGGATAGCTACACTACAGTCGTTTCCCTGCCTTAGCCTTAGCCTGGTTTCCTGGATTTCTCCCTTAGTCTTGCCCCTTCTGATTCTGTTTGCCGTTCATCGACCCACGCTAGCCCTAGGACTATTCTTGTGTCTTGCCCGCCATATACCTGTTTGCCACCGTTTGACCCTGCCTGTTTTATGACCAAGTCTCTGTCTTCTAAATAAAAAGCCTCCATATGGATCCGCACGTCTCACGTCTTGTCAGCCCCGTAACAGAATACTTGGCCACACAAGGATCCAGCGACTTTTCATGTGGACATTGGCCAGATATGGACACTGCGAGACTGTTGTTAGCCCTCGAGCAGGGTTTGCGAATAATCATTCAAATCAGGCAGGGTTAACCTTACAGTAGTACTCTGATTACTGTCTTCATCACTTGAATTAAGATTATAATCATTTAATTTTAAAGCACAGCCACCACAAAATCAAACTTTAGCAGCTCTTTTTTATTTGAGGTCATTCTGAGGTTAAATACGGATTTTAAATCAAATCTTTGCATAGTTATGACAGGAAACACAGGCATCTAACAATGCCTTGGGAAAAAACAGTTAATCTTAAAAAATAAAGAGTATCCATAAACCCAAATAGGAAATGAAACCGTTATCAAATAAGCAGGTGTCCTATTCTGTGTCGTAAACTCCTGAAACATTGGTGTTTAATAATTTAGAGCAGTCAATGCAATTTGGGAAAGAAATCAATCAAATCTGTATGCGTGGGAAAATATTCAGATGAAACCCCCTTTGTAATCGTTAACATTTTCATAAGTAACTGTAATTTAATAACACATTTCTTCTCAGTGACTTTAACGGATTACATTTATTTTGTAATTAAATTACGTAATTCTGTTACTTGTAATTAGTTACTCCCCAACACTGATACTGTTACATTCAAAAATCTCTAAAAGCAGGCGATAACCAAAATGATACCAATATATTGTGCATATATATATATATATATATATATATATATACATATATATATATTCAGTTTTAATGCACATATCAAAATAACATAAGCAGTCAAATGTCAAAAGTTTTGACAAAAAAGTAATCAAAATGTATAATTTAACTTACAGGCTGCATAGGAGTGTAAAAATATGTTCAAATACTCAATTTAACGTCAAACTACTTTACATAATGCAAGTTTATAGATAAATAAGCTTTTTTTCCCCACAAAATCTTATTTTACGCCACTCGTTTGGATGTAGTAAAACTCAAAAACTTTTCTTTCACTGTCCATAATTCTAACCTTGAAATAACGATTAGGCATAAAAATGTCTTCATACATGTGAAAATCGGCTGAGAATTGAACAAATAGTTGTAACCTGACTCAGAGGCAGATAGGAATCATGTATTGGTGGCAGTTTCTCTTGTGATTAAAGGGGTCATATGATGTTGCTAAAGAGAACATTATTTTGTGTATTTGGTGTAATGAAATGTGTTTATGCAGTTTAAGGTTAAAAAAACACATTATTTTCCACATACTGTACATTATTGTTTCTCCTCTATGCCCCGCCTTTCTGAAATGCGATTTTTACAAAGCTTATCGGTCTGAAAAGCGAGGTGTGCTGTGATTGGCCAGCTATCCAGTGCGTTGTGATTGGCTGAATAACTCAAGCGTGTGTCGGAAATGTTACGCCCCTACCATAGTGTGACCAGGATCAGGAAATGGTCCTCCATAAAATGTGCTGCACACATCTGAATATTTGGGTTGAAGGGTCCTTGAACAGTGTTGTAAATACAACTTAACCACTGATTTCTAGTCGTGTCCTCTTTTGGAAGGCCAAACAAAGTAGTTTCGCTTTCACAACGGAACACACAGCGTCACACACGGCGGGCTAGAGTGAGGAGCATCTGGCGGGCTTGCGGCAACCACATGTGACGACCCCGGGCTGGACTCCGCTTCGTCCACAGTGAAAGCCGATATGGCGATTCACAGCGCGGAGTTGATGTATTTCCTCAGCGACCAGCACGGATCAGCTCCAGGCATGACGAAGCGGATATCGTCCTCTTTTGGAAGGCCAAACAAAGTAGTTTCGCTTTCACAACGAAACACACAGCGTCTTCACGACATGGCGGCAGCAACAATACTACAGCGAGAATAAAAGTTATGCTTTCTTTCTTTGCGTGAACATTTGGGCGGCGTTATGCAAATCTTCCCACATCGTGACGTAGACATGTGGGGGCGTGTTAGAACGAGCCATTTTAGCACGAGCGTGGTTGACTCTTAACTTTTATAAAGAATATCTCTTTGGATTTGAGACTTTAGTCTTTGCAACTTTACAGATCTTCTTTATGCACCAAGAGCTTGTAACACTCCAAAGAGAAAGGACAAATTTAAATCGCATCATATGACTGCTTTAAAGGATATCACAAGACTTCTTCACCTTACAAATGGTTGTCAAAAGCAAAAATGCTATGAAAAGCATATTTTATGAGAAAAAGTGACATGCTAGAGCAAAACAGGCGCTATTTTTGAAATCAGCATCCCAAAATTTGTAAGAAACAAGTAGCTTTGGGTTTCATTCAGCAAATATAATACAGGGTGGTGTTACAGTGAAATAGTGAAACAATTAACTATTGCGATATTGCCTTTTGTTTGATCTAAGCTGTATAAGATGCACTTTTCTTTTGGTCCTCTATATAAAATCAGTAGTTATCACTCTCAATTGCTGTGCTGTTGCTTGGAGCCAAAAGATATTCAAATCAATAGGTCTGTGTCCTGATTTAACTGCTACCACTTCGCTATTTTTGAACAAATTATCTGAACTCTGCTTAGATTTCTACGGCTTTCTTTGCTCAAAATCTCTTCGACACCTAAAGACTGACTCTTTATATTTTCCAAAAGCCCACTGTTTGAGATTTTCCATCCTATCTAGTATTCAAATGGCTGCTGAATGCATGCGTATTATTTGTTGGGCAGGCTCTCTGTGGTCAATGACACAGGGGAGAGCTTCCTTATCTGAGTCAAACCTGAGCACCACGGACGTTCTGTGAAACAGTGGTTTCCTGCGTATGGTATTGTCAGTTCTTTCTTTAACTTTTCTTCATTACGATTTTGTTTCCTTCTGTGTGCTTGCACCGTTCCTAAACAACATTTGAAATGACACCATTACAATTGAAAGATTATTTTTGGGTAAGTAAACGGGCTGAGCTACTTTGACATTAGATTGAACGTTGTTGTCTGCTAGGGCTGACATGCCTGAGGTTAACAGTATTGCATATGATGATTGACAGCACAGATTATTAATGTCTAACTTCCAATAATTCACCAGCATCACATTACCTTGTGCTATAAGAGCACAGAAAGTAAGGAATTGGACCATTTATTAAATCTAAAGTATTTTTTGTGCACTGCCATTCTCGTTCATTTGTATCAGGAATTACTGTGTCTTTAAATAAGACAAATTCAGCTATATTCTGTAATTGTTTCCGTTTTTATTTTATGTGTTTTAGTTCGATGTTGGTTTAGTTTTGACGGACTGAGATAGAAGACATCAAAATGACTGAATGAAACATTGAGGGTATCTCAAACTAAGATTTTGATATTAGATTTTTAAAAATAAGATTTTTGCCTTTAAAAAAATACTTCTCTTTGGGGGTTTAGTGTTTATGTTTAGACATCCTGATATTGTGTCAAGGAGATGATCTATGGGCTTCCTGTTGAGCGTTTGACTGTGTGCCTGCTCTACCCTCTTTTTTAGCTTTGATCTTGTGTTGTCAGAGCATCTATCTACAAAGCAACTTCTGGGATGATTTGACTGTCAAACCATGCTAGTGCTGTTAAGTGTTGTGCATGTAAAAAATATATGCTGTAGTTATGTAAAAAATAGTACTACTGTTTTCTTTCTGCTGCAAATGTAAGAACGTTAAGATAAACGAAGGATCCATTTTCTGTAGCATTCCATGTTAATATTATTAATATATGTTAATATTCCATAGCGTTTCATGTAAATGGGCACAATAAATAATTAAACTGTTTAACCACATTTGTGACCCTGGACCACAAAACCAGTCATAAGGTTCAATTTCTCGAAATTCAGATTTATACATCATCTGAAAGCTGAATACATAAGCTTTCCATTGATGTATGGTTTGTTACGATAGGACAATATTTGGCCGAGATACAACTATTTGAAAATTTGGAATCTGAGGGTGTAAAAAAATCAAAATATTGAGAAAATCACCTTTAAAGTAGTCCAAATGAAGTTCTTAGCAATGCATATTACTAATCAAAAATTAGGTTTTGATATATTTATGGTAGGAAATTTACTAAATATCTTCATGGAACATGATCTTTACTTAATATCCTAATGATTTTTGGCATAAAAGAAAAATCGATAATTTTGACCCATACAATATTTTTTTGGCTATTGAAAAAAACATACCCAAGCGACTTAAGACTGGTTTTGTGCTCCATATTCTTTTTTTTTTTTGCATAGACTCCAACTTCTTCAAATAAGGCCTAATTTTGTTGAATACAGTGCAACAAGTAGAAAGAAACTTCCCATGGATTCAGGATTAAAACTGAGATGCACAGCCTCACATAATAGAAATACTACAGAGAGATATATATCAAAACAGAATCTCTTTTGTTCTTTTTCAAACTAATCATGTTATAATAAACAATCCTGTTACGGTTTATGTTACTGGCGAAATATAATCTAATCCTCTTGGTTCCAGGGCCCAGAATTCACCAGTAACGCCGGGTATGAGACTCTTATCCAGAAGCTATGTGATGGGCGGCGGGCTTGCAAAGATGTGGAGGAGCTCTTAAAAATGAGGTAACAACTGAAAGTTGCATATTTATGTTTATTTCTACAAGATACACTGTTCAGCATTGGTTAAAAGTATTGAACTGGATTGGATAAGATGACAATGTAGTTTTCGACTCATAGAGCGATGGCAGAGGAAAGGTACGGCAAGGAATTGATTACTATTGCACGCAAAACAGGAGGGCAAAGTGAAATTGGGTGAGAAAATATTGTATGTATTATTTCATATATTTATTTATGTATAAATTGGCTTGTGGTTTTAATACTTTGCATACAAATAAAGGTTTATGAGCATAAGTCTATCAATTTTATTTGTATTATTATTCCTTTGGTCTTGTAGCACTTTGAAGGCATCATTTGACCAGCTAAAAGCCCGTAAGTAACACTTCAAACTATAATTTGTTTTTAAATCACAACAAGCTTCATTTGCCAGGTGACACATGGAATTAAAAATATATAAAAAAATAAACAGCACCAGCTACATCTGCTAACTAAACCCATACCTTCAAGATCACTGATCAATATGCTGTTTTCTCACCTAGAAATGGAGAACATTGGAAATTTGCACATTCAGCTCTCTGGGATGTTACGAGAAGAGGCAAAACGAATGGAGCAGTTCAGAGAGCGACAAAAGGAGCAGCGAAAAAAGGTGAAATGGCATGTGATGCTTTAATTCATCTAAATTTGCAGAACCGCAAACCACACGCTTACAAGTTATTCTATGTTTGAGACTGGGTGAACAAAAATTGAGTACTGTACTGTATGTTCAAACCAAGATGCTTCTTGATACACTCAGAGAAAATAAGCTGTCACTGGGGCAGTACTCCGGTACAACAGCTAAAAGCAGAGACGGGCAGTAGTGAAGTATTTTTACTTTACTCAAGTACATTTAAAAAGTATCTGTAGTTTATCAGAGTGTTTTTCTTTGGAAAACTTTACTTCACTACATTCCAAAGCATAATGTCATACTTTTTACTGCACTTCATTTCATAAATAAAAATTGTTGTTCGTTTTACCTTTAATACTTAAGAACATTAAAAATGTAGTACTTTCTTGTACTCAAGTAAATCTTTGAATTACTTTTACTTGAGTAAAAGAAAGTAATACATTTCTAATGTAATTAAGTATTAAATTATATTTAATATGAAACGTAGTGCAGTAAAAAGTACAATATTATGCTTTGGAATGTTGTGAAGTAAAGTTTTCTAAAGAAAAACACTCTGATAAAGTACAGACACCTGAAAAGTAATTTTACAGCAGAGTAAAAATACTTAACTACTGTCCGCCTCTGGCTAAAAGGCATCTTTGGAACTTATTT